GATATGGAATACAGGATTTACTGCAAGACAATTCTTGATTTTGAAAAAAAGTGCAATAATATATTTGGTAACTAAAAATGTTCACTGCGGATATTGTGTATGATTTTGGAATGAGTATGCTATACAAAGTTCAAAATGGGATATGAGGGAAAAATATTGAGTGTAACAGTGAAACCATTCTATCAATTAATAAAAAGTTGGACTAAGTCAATAACTCTTGTCTCCCACTGACTCAACATTATTGTGGTCCCTATATCAAATCAAGATTACTCACCATTACATCAAATATTTATTCAGATACAATAATATACTAAAATTTTATTTTATTTTTGTCATCAAATTTCTATAAAATTTATAATGTATGCTAGAGTGGCTGAAAGAACTCTAACCAACCTAATATGTAGATAGCAAAATAAAGAAAACCAATACAAACTACAGAGATCTCTGTCAATCGCATACATGAATTATCACACTTTTAAAGATTTGTTTGTTTATATTTTTATTTTTCTTTTTCTTTTCTTTTTTTTTTGGTGGTGTTTGGTATAACGAAAAAAGGGAAATACGGTACAGTAGGTGCAGGAAAAGGAAATCATTAGACAGTGGGAGACTTTTTAAATTACAAAATAGGTGCGAAGATTAGTTTACTTTACAAAAGGGTATGAATCATTCTTTCTTTCACTCTTTTTCTTTGTCTATTCTGTCACGTCTCTCTCTCTCTCTCTCTCTCTCTCTCTCTCTACATTATTTATTTATTTTATTTTCATTTTATTGTTAAAAATATGTATAACATTTTGTTTTATATATAAATCTAATTTTAATAAAATTAGAACCATATTTAAAATTAGATTAAAATTATTAAATATATAAAATAAATTATTTTGAAAATTTACATAACTAACATGAGATGGATAATTAATAATAAAATAATTTAAATAGAAAATAATATTTAAATCCCTAAGTAAAAATGTAAAGATTAACAAAAACAAAGTTTATATTGTGTACAAGTTAAAAAAATAAAAATTAATTTAATGAATAAAATGAAATTTTTTATAAAACAAAAAAAACATCATTTCATATATTTTTTTATCATTTTTTTTTCAAAAAATAAAATTTTAAAAATACATTATTTTTAATATATATATCTTTATATATTTTGAAAGGAAATTATAATATACACCATTTTAAAAGGGTATACTATATGCACCCTAATTATGCCATTTTCTTTTTTATTTGTGACAAATTTTCTTCTTTAGTTATGGTATTATTTTAGTTATACTTCATGTTGTGTTTAGTTATGACATTTTTCTCTTTTTAGTTATGACTCAAAAATTAAAATTATGCCTGTGTTTGGCAAGAACTTTTCCAGGCTTTTTTGGCTATTTTAGCCACAAAAAACAAAATAGGCTATTTTAGCCATAACAAACAAAACATCACATCCAACCTATAATCATTACATTCTTCTCTCACAACAAAAGTCAAAAAAGCCAAAAAGCCCTTCCCAAACCAAGCTTTTTAGCCCAGGCTAAAATAGCCAAAAAAGCCAAAAAGCCAAAAAGCCAACCCACTTCCCAAACGGAGGCTATGTCATTTTTCTTTTTAGTTATAAAATGCATATTGAAGAGTGTGCACCACTGTGTTTCCCTATTTTGAAATGCCCCTTCTTTCACCCTCTTTCGTCCTTTGCCACTACTTTCTATGACTTTTCTCACCACCTCTACCACTTCCACCCTATATGTCACCTACCTCCTCCCATTATATAGTTCAATACTCTTTTTTATTTGTCAAACCCTCATCGATACTTCTCCACCCTTAACCATTCCCACTCCACCCCATCCCACCCAACCCAACGCAACACTATAAGCAACCTACCCCCTTCACTCTCTCTCCATCCCCCACTATCCACTTCCACTCCTTCTACTTCCCTCCTTTCCTACCCTCCTCTATGACTTTTCCATTTCTCTCAAACCTTCCCTGATACTCCTCTATCCACCTTCACCACGTCTAACTCATCACTCGTCTACATCTTTCACTTTCTTTTGCCACTCCAAATGCCACCTTCATCCATTTCTACTACTCCTCTACCTTTATTCATCATCGTTCTCCGCCTCATCCCTTGTCACCAAGCCCACATCCTAATTGACCCAAACCCTATACAAGACTTACACCTCACACACATGAGTTGCACCCTACATACAAAAACTTGTACCTCGCCACCACAGACTTACCATGCCATTCACCTTTATTTTTTTTGTTTCTCATCTCTTCATTTCTCTTTCATTCTCACCATCTCTTCCACTTCCCAATGCAAATCACCATGACCCCGCCCTCCACAGTCGTCGACCACTGTAGGATGCCTTTTCGGGCTACCGAGTGCGCCCAATAGTTTGGACTCCCAATCTCCTGATCTAGTCTCACAAGTGTAATGTAAAACATAAATAAGAGTGCAGATCCGACAACTTGTACAAAAAATTAATTTTATTACAAAATCTTCCCCCAAAATGGACTATATCACTAGATCTCAGAATTGCCACCTAATCTTTTAGGAAAACTAGGAAACCTATGCCTCATGCCAAAAGTCGTTGTCCATCATAACCAAAGTGTCTTGGCTTGGAAACCTAGGTATGAGGGGAGAAGGTTATGAATTGAGCACCCTCGCTCACCCCAATCAAAAGATCAGCCTCTACTAAGTCATTATGTGATTTTTCATAGTCTCCATATGTTTATGTTCCGGTTTTAATAATGCTAACATTACTATCTGAGGCAAACAAATATAGATTGTGCCCCTTGTTCTGGTTATGCTTTGATTTCATGCATTTTGAAAAATTATTTTGTGCGACTCCTAATAAAAAGTAGTTCAGAAGCATAAAAATCAACCACATTCACAAGCAACAACCTCCATCCATTGGCATTCACACAGATATTCCATTGAAGCACATAGCCACATGGTATAATGCCGGATACAATAAGTAACAGGTACATGTAGGATGTAAAAACCAAAAAAATGCTCACCTAGTACTTCTCGGTGGCAAGCCAAAGAATATGTCAAAAATATATGCATGATCCTATATATAGATAGCTAATATAATACACCCACAATATGCAATTAAGGATTTAGCTACCAACATATGGCATATGTATCATCCAAGGCATGAGATAACGCATATAGTCAATTTGGAAATGATAAACCCCACGAATACAAACGAACCGAATTCATATGCATAAAAAATGGATGTAAATCATGAATATGATAAATAGAACATGATACTCTATAATATATATGGAAAGCATGTAAATGAAAGGGATAAAAGATGTGTGGTTGGAAAGTCAATACAACATCTAAATGAAGAAAAGACTTGGGGTTAGAAGTTATTACAATAAATGAATTGAATAAAAGATGCAGAGTTGGAAGTTATTACAACAATGAATTGATTCAACCAAATTAAGATAAATCTAACAAATCATACCAAAATTCAAAGCAAACTACAAACAACAACCACAAATGGCCAGGAAAGTACTTCCCAGAAACTGCCTTGTTCTGCTCTGCTCTGTTTGAGGGACAAAGTTCACCGGGCCATACACAAAATCATCCGGCCAAATGAAAAATGGTTCGGCTGGTCCTAACCTCGAGAATTAACATTGTTTTGTGCAAAAACAATAAAGCATAACCAAAAGACACCTTCTAGGAGGTGCTCATCCTCTCTAACTCTTTTTTCATATATAAGCTCAAGACAAAAGTGGAGAAGCCTTAGCCCATAATTAGCAATACAAAAAGCTATATACAATATGACATTGAAAACAATCAATCAAATGAAAAAAATTGGAGGTTGGAAAAAATTCAAGCCCAAGAAATTAATGAAAACCTACGATCATCTCTTTGTGATTAAAGGCAAGTTAATACTAAAATTCATGCTATTCATTGCCCACTATTTCTTAATGGATTAATGCTCACTATTTCTTAGTGGAGGCTTTGCCTTTAAAGTAAGAGATTCATCAAAGGCAATTGAAAACTCTTCTCCTAGTCATGGAACAAGAATGTTTCCATCTCTTTCCATGTTTACAAAAGATTTGGGCGGAGAGTTTTCAACATCTTTGACCTAAAATCTATTACTTTACTTACAAGGAAAAATCAACCAACAACTCTCCCAAAACCAAATCTTGAGACTCGTCCAACTAGCTCCATGCCATAACCACAACTCTTCCCACATGTTTAGATGATAAGAAAGAAGATGACAAAGTGAATGAAAATGAAACAAAAGAAATTACACTAAATAAGCAAACTTGGGGATGGGTGGCTACTTTTAACTCCCAACAACCACAAGGTTCCAATTAACATCTATATAATAGAGATGAATTATACTTCTAAAAAAGCAAGAAAAACAGTACCAATATGTAGAAAAATGAAAGAAACAATCAACTCAATGGATGGGTGGCTACTTTCTACTTCCAACCCATCCATGACAACTTAACACATGATTATAACAAGCTAACAACAAAATTTAGAGTTTAAAGATGAAGAAATAGGGAGAAAATGTAAGAAAAGTTCAAAAAGTTTCACCTCTTTAAAGAGGGTAAGCTTCTTTGTTGTCAAACTCCTCCTTAGCACCCTCAAGGCTCTTAACACTCACAAGTATTTATATTACAAAGAAACTAAATCCTAACAGACAAATTCACTCACTAATATAAATGGTAATATCTACTACTACTCTACTACTGCAGAGCACTACAACTGCTACAGCACAATCTTCTCTCACCCATCTGATGATATTCTTATTAGATCAATGGAGAGGCTAAAGGAACTTGAAATTTCAGTAAAGAAGACTCAGAGGGACCAACTGTATATAGCCTTATCTAAAATCACAAATAACGAAGAAAGGCCTTAACCAAGGAAAGAAACCACAGCTTGAAGGCTTAGAGATCAAATCGTCAATATTTTCATAATGAATGCTTACAATTTGTTCTGGAACAAAATGAGCGGGGTACAAATGCTTAAAATTGCCTTGTTTTTTTTTTTTTTTTAATCGGCAAAACAAAGAAACTACATTGATGTAAAATATAGTACAAAGTACAAGACAAAATGCATCAATAAAGAAAGGCAAGTGCAAAAGCATCGCAATGGGCTGAATCATCCTAACTAGGTTGTCACAAAAAAGTCCATCCTATCATTTGCTAGCACCCCCAGAGTTAGTGAGCAACCAAGCAAAGAAACAGAAAAACAAAAATAAAAAACAGCCACCAACTACACTAGAACACCAGCAGAGCATAGTGCGGATTCACTCCCCCAAACATTAGTGCAGTAGTGCAGACTCATCATAGTGCATCAATGCAAAAACAAGATCATTCCACATTCAAAATCAGAGAAACAAAACTATCAAGCTTATAATTGCCTTGCTAAGACATGGATTTTATGCTAAAACTATCAAGCAAGTAGGAGGATACACCTACTCCAAAGAATTAAAGAATACACTCAAAGAAAAAGAAAAAAAAAAAAAAAAAAAAAAAAAAAAAAAAGAGAAGAAACTCTCTTTAAATCTAAATTAAAGAATGGTTTCCCTGTGGTGGTGTTGCATTCTGTTGATAGGTAAATGGATCTCCAAACGGATTAGAATAACCCATATAAGGCATCTGTTGTTGAGGATATTGGGGTAAATAATGATGAGGTGTCATCGTGATCATGTTTTGTTGTTGGTGTTGTTGCTGTTGCTGTTGCTGATGCATCAGAGTCATCTGCACGTTGGTTGGGGGTGCTATGCTATTGGACACTATAAACGGATCTTGTCGTTGATCAAATGGATTTTGTACAGTCATTTCGTATCCATATCCTGCTCTAGTATTGTACCCTGCATTCTGTAGCTGTAGCTGTCTCCTGGAAGCATCATCTTCATATAAGCTATCAAGTAGTAGCTTGTCAAACCCACCAGCCTGAAAAGATAATAGTAATATCCATTACTAATCAATTACAAATTGATATGATTTTTCATACAAATAGATGTCCGGATGATTTTGCCCTTGAAATTGAGCAATGGTATCTTCAATTATCCTTATTTGAAACAAGATTCAAAATCCAGGGTCAAATGTGTCATAATTGAAAAATCATGGACCAAAGTAACACAAACCCCAAGCTATATAGACCGTTGGTGTAATTCGCCCAATTTTTTTAAAAGGAGTTTTGAAAATTTTGTTTTATTATAAGTTTTGAAAAGAATTTTGAAATTTTTTGATCCAAATCATGATACCAAAAGTAATCCAAACGCTACCTTTTTTTTTTTTTTGGTCACATTTCTCTTTCATTTTTCTTTTCCTCCACAAATCCCCTCCTCAAATCCTAAATGCAAACACAATCTAAATAAATAGAGAATAGAGAATAATGATTTACATCTACAACTACATCACCTAGGCATTAACCCAATTTAAGATTCATAACTATGCAAATGCGATCAATCGAATATAGTAATGCCTAAAATTAAATTAACACCATTGATTATAATTTGGCACATGCACATTTCAAATCAACCACAAGACATTTGCAATATATTTTGAAATAAACCAAAATTCCTCAATACCATATGTAAAAAATTTGAACTGATATTTTAGGTATGGGGCATGTCATATTTCAACCACCTTTAATATTAGAAATTCTTTGATATTTTTTGTCATTTATTTGTTTTTGTTGAGAAAATAAAGAATATAACATGCAGTACTGTTTTTTTAATAAAGTGCATAGAGGTAGAGCAAACCAATTTTCTTTCTGTCACATAGCTAGTACTGTTGTTGCTTGGTGTGGTAACTAGTGCTAGCTCCCATCCTGAAGTATTTCCAATTGTACTCAAATCCCAACCACTTGATACCGGATTATTACCTGAAATTATTCCAATCATCAAAACAATTTTTTATTATCCTATAACACACGCATAAAACCAAAAGGAAGTGTCAATTTAAAATTTCAGCCTAGCAGATCATTTTTATTTAGTTGGCCTGATTTAATCTTCATATAATTATAAACTTTCCCAATAATAAAAACTAATATGCAATTTACCAGGTGGAACTATGGCAAGCGCCAATGCATTACTTTCTTCTAATTCGGCAGCTTTAGGATTTATTTCATTTAAACCCTGCACTCAAAATGTGCAAGAATCATGAATATACTAATCAGAACAACAAACCCAATTTCAAATAGAGCAAAAGGAAGCTCCCATTACTATAAATCCAAATTTGATCCAATTAGAAAATCCAAGTCAACCCAAATACAAGAATTCCCAGTTTTAAGGAGCTTACACAATAATTAACTTTAAAGTTACTTACCAACAGATCCTTAGTCTGGTTAATTGATATCAATGGTGGAACTTCCTCCTCCTCCTTAGGCTCAGTCTCAGGCTCAGGCTCCTGTTGTGTATCTACCAGTGTTTCTTTATCTTCAGCTTCTTCAACTTCTTGTTGTTCACTTTCTTCAAGGGCAGCTTGCTCAGGTTCTTCACTTGTCTCCTCATACTCCTATATTGTTGTTAATAACCGAATCAACACAAATATTCACATATAAACAATGTCAATACCCAACTCATTCATTATCATTTTACATGAACTATAAATTCTGCACAATACTCAACCTACCTAATTCTATTTTGGACAACTGGATCTCAGAATATATTGGGTGAAAGTGTATGAATTTCCAGAAATTTACCAGTGAACAAGAACAACTGATAGTAATCAATAAAAAGTATAAGGAATTTTGACGATTCACTTTTCCTTTGGCAGAATATTTCCAATGAAATTTAAGTAAAATTAGGCCAGATGATTAATACTATGAATTAGTTCCCAGCCTCAAGTCCACTTATGACCTAGCAAAAGAGATTTTAGAATGAAAAATAAATTTATGACAAATTTAAACAGTGAAGTTGCTGATTTCAGGCACTGGTTTTGACAATTTAGAGGGGGAGTTCACAATGAGCCAGGAGGAAAACACCAAAAATTGGAAAAATAAAATAAAAAGAAAGTCACCAACCATATGGCAAATTTTGGGTGCATTTACCCATGGAAATGACATGATACAATGCCATGAATCTGATAATTATTCCAATTTGGAGAAAACTGAGTGCTAACTAGTTTGCCGCTTAAAAATAAGATTTACGAGGGAAAAAAATATTTATTTGTTTAGTAATATTGTACCCTATAGTGTAAAAGGTAATGGCGATGGGCAAAGGTTTCATCAAGTCGGACGGAGATTGGCCCTCTAGCGCAAAGGCATGACGGAGCTTGACTACAATATATCAATTAAATGGATGAATGTTCTCACCATTCTCCTATTTGAAAGAGAACCAGTCTGAGGTGCTTCTTTTATGTATTCTTCCATTGTTGCAACAAATGAAGGAGGTGGCTGTTCAGCCCAGGAAAAAATTTTGTTATGAAAACCTGTGAAACAGATTTTGGCAAAATATTTTCAGTTTCAAGTATGAGAACGAAACCTGTCCAAGTGTTGGGAACTGAAAGTTCCTTGCGAGATCCAGACCTTTGCAAAAATCATAAAAATCAGCAAGATTTTCAGCCTATAGAAAGGGAAGAAAAAGAAAAAAAATAAAAATTATTAGCTCATCTTAGCTTAGCTATGTTGTTTATATGGAATGGGAACATCCTCTTTTGGTAAACAAATAGAAACACATCCAAACATATTATCATAGAGACATTTAAACTTTTTTAAAGAAAGTACAGTTGTAAACCTGTCGGCCAGCTCTTTTGTAGATATTAAGAGCTTTAACTGCATCATGTTTTGTCATATCAAAAAACTGGGAGAAAGTAAACAAGTTAAATTTGTAATTTTAAATAAAATAAAAAATGAATGCAGGGAAAATAGGTCAGGAAGAGGGAAAATACAATCATACCATGTCGACAAGATTGATGATCCCATCATTGATAGCACAATATATTTTGAAGCTTTCTTTCAGTACCTGCATGATCAACAGTTTTTTTAATCTTTCAAAAGTTTCTAAGCCATATATGAATAAAATGTGGAATACTTTCTTAAGAAAACCATCTCCAGGACACATGATCGTTTGCATCAAATAACAAAGCACCAATTAATTAACTTCTACGGTTACGTTTAGGCATAAGAATCACAAAATTTAAATGATACGACTGACTTTAGAAAATCACTCTGGACTGGTGAATTCCAAGTGAAGTAACTGTTACATTTCTCATGAGAATTATAATAATACAATTTAAAAAAAAAAGAAAAAGAAAAAAGAACATACAGCTACAAAAATTACCATCTTATTTTACCAGCATTAAACATAAAAGAATAAAATCTGTTATATACGTCAACTTTCTATGTAGAAAAAGTTGTTTTATTCCACTGCTCACCACACCATCTATTGATTGAAGAACAACTTCTAAATTGCATTTGTGAAACTAATCGAAATCTTATTGATATAGGTATATATGCAATGATTCATATCCTGCCATAAATGTTCAAAAACTTGTTGTGAAATTTCCATCCTAGACAAATGCTAAGCTAAATTCATTTCTGCCAGTAAGAGAAGTGATGTATATATATCATTCATGCATACCAGAGCCAGAGCATATTGTACTAGAAAATTGTGGTAAGCTGCTCCTTCCGGCTGCCAAAAAAACCAAAAAAAAATGGAGTAAATTAAAGGGTAGCATATAGGAGGACAAAAGGCTACTAATTAAACCAAAAAAAAATAAAAAGAAAAAGAAAAAAAGAAACTTCACAAGCCAAGTTACCAGGCAACCAATTAGGCGGTACAAAAGTTGTTGCAATGCAGGTAGCTGTTCCAACAGCTGTTCACTACTCAAGACTCGTGTTCTACTATGCATCTATATATCACAATAGTTGAGCATACTTTAAAATTGTAAGAGAACTAATTAAAAGAAAACTAATTGAAAGACGAGCATGAACGTCATTCGTGATATGAATTGAGACGCACACACCTTGCTTACTCCTGGTAACAATTTAGTCAACCGCTCTGCCTCAATATCATATTTCAGAACCCTAAAACATTCAAGTCGTTCTTCTAGAAAGAGTGCATATGTCCGGACCCATGTAGAGCAATCCCAAGCTGCATGACCAAAAGTGGCAGTCTGAAAACGAAATGTCGTGTTTTTTTATTTTAAAATCCAAAGTGTATCACAATCATTCAACAATTTTACCAAGAGGGCTTGAGTCATCCTTGAAATTGGATATTTGGAGAACATGTCCTCTATGTGAGTAATTTAGTAACTCCTCTCTAAAGGTAGGATCGCCTTCTCTCAATGTTCTATGAAAAACTATCAATGTCTTTATGGCAACCTGTGGGAAATCTCATTAGGTATTAATTTCAAGACGAAATTGGTATAAAAAGAGAAAACTAGTTCTTAAACTGCATTTACAAATATCCAAAAATACATTAATGAAAAGCAAACACTCTGTTAGAGATGAAGCCTTCAAATTATTTGTACAATTTCAAATGCTTCACAGGTGACTTTTAGCATTGACTGGCATGTGGTTGGTTTGTAATAAGGAACTAATTAGTAATTTGACAACCAAAATAAGTGCATAAATAAAAAATAAAATAAATTAGGATAAAAGACATTACAATCCAGCTGCTTGTCTTTGCCAATCTTCTAGAAAGTGCATGAATGCAGTAAGTAACGTCTGCTCGTGGACGAATTGCAGAGGTTGCAATAAAAATTTCTAAGGAAGAAAAGAAAACAACAAAAATGAGATAGCAAAAACAAAAATTAAAATAATAATAACAATAATATTGATAGAAAGATAATAAAATATAAATGCATATTCAATTGATTGCCAATAAAAATACATGTTCCAAATCAGTGCTATATCAGTCCAATATATATATATATATATATATATATTTTTAAAGAAAAAGCAGTACTATTTCTGTGAAAAATTCTGTTTGTCATGGCACTTCCAAAAATATATATCTTATTTCATAAATAAAATGGCCTCTTAGGCCTCGTTTGGGAACAGGCTAATTTAGTAACTTTTTGGCTATTTGGCTAAAAAGGTAGGTAAAAAAAACTTGTATGTTTGGGATGACTTTTTGGCTAATTACGAAAAGATGTGCAAAAAGTAGAGAGAAAAGAGAATTTTTGACTTTTTTTGTATGAGTTGTTAGCTTTTGACTAATTTAGTAATTTTTTGGCTAATTGGCTAAAAAAATAAGTCCCCAATAAAAGATATATATGTCATTCCATTTTCATCGTGTATTTTCTTTTTATTTTCTAGCAAAAAAAATTCTTCATCCTATTAGAAATTATTTCTATAGTATTGAATTTTTTTTATTTGCATATATATGATTTACATATTATATTGTAGGTACATGTGTTTTGTATATTGGGTGAGAAAATAACATTTGCCTTCTGTGACCCTCCGGGAATAAAATTCGGCAGTGGCTTTGGTCCAATCCAAGATCGGACTGAACCGTGTTGTTGGGCCTGTGAGGGCCCACCACGGATCCCGTTTTGATAATCCAAACCGTTCAATGTGTATAACTTGTCGAGTACTATATGTCTATAAAAAATCACGTTGATCGGATATCGATAGCTATGTGAAAAAAACAGTTTTTTATCAACCGTTAATTTTTCACCGTCTATTTTTTTTATACAAAACTGATTTGATCACATAGCTATTGATATCCGATCAACGTGATTTTGTACACATAAAGTACTCGACGAGTTCTACACATTGAACGGTTCAGATTATCAAAACGAGCCAAAAAAATTAACCCCATGGGCCGGACTGGACGGGTCCGGTCTTGATCTCACCACCTTGAGACAAGCTGGACCCATAAAATTCTGGTTCCGTCATGGACCAACAAAATTGAAAATGCCGGTTGTTAAGTATGTGGATTTATATGCAGTCAACAACCTTAACCAAGAAGAAGGTAGAAAACAATGTATAGAAACATATAGATGTATATATACCCACTTCTGACATGGCGTTCTTTTGGAGGACGCTCTACATGATTGGTGGCTTTGACAATGGCAATATCCAAATCCTTCTCCATCAATTTAATCGAACCCAAATCAAATACCAAACGTTAATGTAACCAACTCAAAGATCAGCAAATAAACAAAATGAAATCAAATAGAAATTAATTTTGAATTTGAATCCATGATCTATTTATATATATATTCATACAGACAGACCTTGAATTCGCTATTGACCTTTGCAAGGCCAACCATGGTGGAGTCCTTGAGCGCATCATAGGCTTTTTTAAAGCTTGTGAACGTACCCATTTCCCTCAAAGTCTAACATGTGAAATTTAATGACTCGCTCTTTTTATTATTATTGTTCTTGTTCTTGTTCTTAAAAAGGAGAGAGAGAGAGAGAGAGAGTTGTTCTCTGGTTATGTATGTTCTTTCTGCAACAAAATGCTAACGACTCTCTCTTCTTTTTTATTTTATTTTATTTTTATTTCTAATTTTTTCTGTCTTCTTTTCTATCCAAAATGTGCGCAACAATATAGATACTTCCTCCGTTTCAAAATATTATTTCCTTATTTTATTTTTTATTGTCCCAAAATATTAGTCTCTCTTCAAAAATCAAGTACAAAAATAATATAAATTTCTTATTTTACCCTTCTTTTAAATTAATAAACAATATAAAAAGTACAATTATGACATTGATATTCCCCAAAAAATGTACTATCAAAAGGATAATTTTGAAAAATCAACTTTTTTCAAATGCAATAATTGTACTACCCAAAAAATTGAATTCCCCAAAAAGGACCATTATTTTGGGACGGAGGGAGTATGGCGTTTGAAAGAACTTTGGTCGTTTTGAAGATCGCAAGATGCATTTTGGGGCATCTTCAACTTTTTGTTAGTTTTTTTTGGGCAAATTACATATACCCTCTCGAGGTTTGACTAAATTACAAATATCTTCCTAAGATTTTAGAAATTACAAATTTTTCCCTGAATGTTATATTTGCATAACAAATTATGGGGTAATTTGTTATGAAATTTAAACATCAGGAGGCAAATTGTTATGAAAATACAAACCTTAGGGGACGGGATGTAATTTTCGAAACCTCAGGGATTTCTGTAATTTAGCCAAACCTCAAGAGAGATATATGTAATTTGCCCAATTTTTTTTTTTTTATTTAGGTTACCTTGTTTCGATATAAAATATTTTGTATAAATAATTTTTTTTTTTTTTTTTTGTAAAAGAATTTTACACAATTTTTTTTGCTTTTATTTTTTAGTGTTTGGTTAACACTTAAGATAAAAATATTTTATTATTTAAAAGAGGAATTCGGATTCAATAAAGTGTCATTTATGATTTTTTAGTAAGTTAAAATATTTATTTGAAAAGATTAAATGTATTGAAAATATAGTAAGTGAAGTTGACTTTGTAAAAATTAAATTACGAAATTTTTAAATGTCATTTTCAGAAAAATAATGCAAAAACATTTTACTTAAAAAAATGTTTTACTTACTTTTTGTTTAACCAAATAACAAAAAATGAGTAAAATATTTTTGACAAAAACATTTTACATGAAAACAAACGGAGCCTAATTGGATTTAAATTTGGGTAGAAAACTTAATTTAATATGAATTATTTGAACATTTTTATTAAATTTTTATCAAAATCATTTTAAAAATTTCCCTCACACTTCAAATTTATCTTTTCATCAAATTTGATAAAAATAAAAATCATTTCAAATTCTTCATCTTCTTAAATTTTCATCAAATGTCAATTTGATAAAAATTTTGCTACATTCTCAATTTGATTAAAAAGAAATGTCTCTCCGTTCATTTGCTGAATATTTAATGAATGGATTAAAGATATTTTTTAAATACTTTTCATTAAATTTAAGTTTAATAAAGAAAAAAAAAGTTAAGAATCGAAAATGCTCCTACATTTTTTTATTCACAGCACAGTTTAAATTTTTTACATCCAATTATGCCATTTTTAATTGGAAAATGCTAGAGGTCCCAAATTTTCTACCAAATAAATGACCAAATGTCTCATATGGGTGTGGGGCCCACAAAATTGCGGACCCCACACCCATATGAGACATTTGGTCATTTGTTTGGTTGAAAATTTGGTGTCCCTAGCATTACTCTTTTTAATTACTCGGATTGCATGTCTTAGACACATTAATAAGGGTAAATTACATTCACCTTCATTAAGATTTGGAAAAAATACAATTAATTTTACAGTTTTGATATTGACTTCCATTTTAGTAAGGTTAACATAACCGAAATTAATGCAGATAATAGGTAGATACTAAAATAAATAAAGATAAATATACATTTTAGTAGAAAATATTTTTTTTGATCAGTAAAGAAAATCCTTTATTGATGAAGAAAACATACATTACATATGAGATAACATCAACAAGGTAGAGAAAGAAAAAATGACAAGAAAAGAAATCGAGCATAGTGCTGGTGAGAAACCAACACTAGCTCACAAGACCACAAACCCTTGAAGCCAAAACCCAAAAACTAGCTAACAAAGCTTATACCCACTGAAAACTCCAGCTAAGCTTACTTGATGCCATCCTTCAACCTTCTAAGACCAAACCCTCCTATTTGGATCTCTCTTTGTCCTTTAGCTGTGGCTCAATAATCTTGTTTAGCACATCATCTTCTTTCCCATTGAAATTGATGCCTAGAGATTTACCTAATTGTATAGTGGCTTTAGGTTCATTAGGAGAAGATTTTTCGGGCTAGTAACACTCTCAGACAGACCTTGTCACGCCCCACTTTTATTTACGCGGAATCATTACCAAATTTGTTACCTTAATTCAAGTTCAGAGATAACATGCGAAAACAAATTCTTTAGTCCAATGAGTAGAGATAAACAACAATTCTCTCATTCGAATGCAAATTGAATACAACATGAGCATACTGAATAAAATGCCCGTAGGCTTACAACGTTAAAGAATCAAAAGAAGGGTGTAACCCTTTTTACAACAAAGGCATCCCGCCAACACAACAGAGGCCCCGTAGCCAACAAATAAGAAGATCCAAATCTTGTAGCACAACCTGCTTAACACCTGAAAAAGATTCAACAACGTGGGATGAACATATAGTCCAGTGGGGATCTCAACATGATCCTCAACAATAACAACTTACAGATAGCTATGATCATGAATGCTTAAGGTCATACTAGAATAGTAACATGACAGTTTATACAAAATACACATATGTATGAACTTTTCTCAAAACAACCATTTGATTCAACGCTTTAAGCGATCCATCTTTTCTTACCTTTTATTTACCCCTAGTTCCCAAGCTTTAATAACAATAACAACTCCTTAGGAAAACAATTTCACTAAGCCCATTACTTTTCTTCAATTCTCCCATACTAGCAACCGATGTGTCTTTTTCAAAACATATTTCAAAATACTCGATTTCCTTCACACTTTCCAAGATCTCAAAATGGCATTTTGGTTTGTTCCCAATGCATTCATTTCTATACATGCATGCCTTTAATAAAAGGAAGATAACAAATCATCAACATATATACAATCAACCAATGAGGCAACTTGGCCCTCCAAAACTGTAACATTCCCAATCCATAACATACTCAGATACACTAAGACGATAACAACAAAACTCTGCTCTACCGGCTATATGCGCAGTAAGCTTCTCCCGACAAATGACTAGCCACATTCTCCAGACATAAGCTGGAAGGTAATGGTACCTCGTCCACATTCTCCAGACACAGGCTGGAAGGTAATGGTACCTCGTCCATATTCTCTAGGCGCTAGTTGGAGGGTAATGGTACCCCTCATTATAAACGCGGTATATAACATCAACCAACTCAACATGATAAGGCATAACCAACAGGCGTAATGCACACACATAGACTATCAAGATACATAAGCAATGTGTTAAAATATATGAACACGTAGGTGTGTGTGGAGCACATCATCTATCTCATCCCTAACAGTTGTACATGCATGAGGTATCATAGCACTTCATTATAGACAAGGTCCAATCAACACAGGTGTAATGCATATTCGACAATTCAACACAACCATGTCATCCTCCACTGATGACCGAGAACAAAACCTCTAGATGCATGATTTTAATACACCTACTGTAAAGACTCAACTCTCATGAAGTCTTAAACCCAACAATGCCACAAGTACGATAATTGCAAATTTACTCTCCCAAATATGTGTATACAACACTCATGATACCATACTCAACTCTTATGATTTTCCAAAACAAATACTCTTTTTCATTTCACAAAAACCGATTCCAGTCATTATAAAGCCATAGCCCAACCCGATTCATTACATTCATTTCAAAACAACCCCAAGGCCATAGTTAGTCCCTTAGGCATTAACACTCTCACCCAACTCATATATAAATTATAGAGATTTGCAAACATTGGTCAATTACCCTCCATTTTAATTTACCAAATCAAAATATAATTTAGGGCTTTTCCTTCTTTCACTAGAACATGCTATTTTACTCCCCAATTAGTGTAAAGAACAACTAATTACAATAAACCCATTTTCAAACAATCACCCCTAGGTTCCTCACATGATTTTCAACAAATCCAACATGAATATGATTTTCATGCAATACAAAACTACCACATGTCTATCTATAGATGAAGTATTGAAAAAGAACAAGGAAATCCCTACCTCAAATGTAGAACCCAAGGAGAAGAAGAGCAAAACTCGGAAGTGCTCCAAACACCAAATTTCTCAGATCAAAATGTAGCCCTCAATGATCAACACACTTTTTGTAAAGGCCAAAGGGTAGGAGAACACTCTAACTAGATCAATCCCTAGAGAGAAGGTGGGTTTCTAGTGAGAGAGGCTCTCCAATGGAGTTTTAGAAAAGTAAGAGAGAGAGTGAGGATGTAAAAAGTGATTTAAAATAGCCTAGCTGCCAACTGATATACGACTCTCCTGCTCAAGCGTCAAGTACAAAAACTGGACCCGCTCGAGTGCAAGAAGACCCGCTCGAGTACCAAGACACAAGAACAAAACACACCTGCTCGAGCGCGAAAACCAGTCCGCTCGAGCGTAGATTCTTCTCTCTCAGTATCTTCACCGACAATGCTCACCCCGCTCGAGAGCCAACAGACCCGCTCGAGCGCGACCCGCTTGAGCGTAAGGAAACCCGCTCGAGCGTGAAAAACACACCTGTAGAAGTTTTGCAAAGGCACGAAATACTGGAACTATGAAAACCCCGCTCGAGCGCAAAAAGACCCGCTCGAGCAGACAACCAAAAATCAAACTCCGCTCGAGCGCAAAAGGACCCACTCGAGCGTACCACCAAAAATCTGGGCAACAAGGAATGGGACTAAGGCTCAACCAACCTGTAACAACTCTGCCCAAAACATCCTAAAACTCAAATACG